GGAGCTCAGAAATACTTGTGTACCTGCTCTTACATAAGCCATTTCTAAGTGTGACCACCAAGGAATTTCCTTTCCCTATTTTCATACTAAAGGATAAATTTGCATCTTGTAATTTCTTCTTTATTTTCTGACAAACAAACACTTCTACAAATAGTGCCACAGAAGAACTGGCATTTCTCAAGTAATGGCCATTTGAACTTTCTGCCATTTTCTGAATTAACTTGTGTTTGGCGGTGAATTTGTCACACAGGTTTACGTGGAGCTGTCAAACCCCTGTGCTGGGAAGTTGTTGGCATGCTGACACGGGAACCTTGCAGCGCTAGAAAAAAGAACATAAATTAGCCTAGGGAGCTTTGAACATGTGACCGAGATTGGATAAATGCCACTTTTACCTAATTACATGAGATGCTGAAGTGTGGAAACAAAGCCCAGAGTAAAAGAAATCCAGATGAAAGACTGATTTTCCTCACTGACAACTTTTCTGGGGAGAAGAAAAGATCCGTCTTTTCCTGTAGCATAAAATTGTGAGAGACCCTGAATTGCCACACTCAGAGCCAGCTGGGAATGCACATTAGTCAGAGTGTCCATAGCAACCATAAATTCTGACCCGCTGACTGGACTCAGGAGAGCAAATGAGTCATTTGTACCAGAGCGAGTCTCCCATAGGATGCGCGCTGCGAGTCTGTTGAGCACCCAGCCAGGTAGCATCTGAGTCTTGCTCACAGCCACTGTGGTCTGGCCTCTGGGACACGTAGATTTGCTACTACTTCAGGCATGTCAGCAATTCTGTTTTGCTTTGGTTTATATTTAGTAGGGTTGCAGAGAATGCCTTCCTTACATAATTTTATCTAGTCTTTTTTTGTTAGCATCATTTTTTTTTTTACATTCCTGTTACTTTTCTAGAACTCCTGAAATCTTCCCTTAGTATCTCACAGGGCCCCTCACCCCTATTCTTTTTCAGTTTTATTATTGTGGTAAAATATACATAACATAGAATTTACCATTTTAATCAATTTTAAATGTACAGTTCAATGGAGAACAAACTTATGGCTACCAAAGGGGAAAGCGGGGGTAGAGGGGAGGATACATTAGGAGTTTGGGGTTAACATATATACACATTAAGATATATAAAATAGATAAACAACAAGGACCTACTGTACAGCACAGGGAACTATATTCAATATCTTGTAATAACCTATAATAAAAAAAATCTGAAAAAGAATAGGCATATATATGTACAGCCGAATCACTCTGCTGTACACCTGAAACTAACACAATATTGTAAATTAACTGTTCTTCAATTAAAAAAAAAGAAAAAGATGGACAGTTCAGTGGATTAAATACATTCATATTGTTTTGCACCTATCTGCAGAACCTTTTTATCATGCCAAACTGAAACTCCACCCATTAAATAGTGACTACCCGCTCCTACCTCCCCCTGGCTTCTGACAACCACCGTTCTACTTTCTGTCTCTCTGAATTTGATTACTCTAGATACCTCATGTAAGTGGAGTTACACAATATTTGTGTGTAGCTTTTTGTGTCTGACTTATTTCACTTAGCAGAGTGTCTTCAAGGTTCCTCCATATTGTAGCATGTGTTAGAATTCTCTTCCTTTTTAAGGCCGAGTAAGATTTCATTGTGTGTATATACCACATTTTTTATCTGCTCATCCATCAAGAGATATTTGGGTTATTTCCAACTCTTGGTTATTACAAATAATGCTACTATGAAGTTGGTATATGAATATCTGTTCCCCTCAATTCTTTCTAAATGAAATTTTGAGACTACCTTTAAGGAGTAGAGGAACTAAGTTTAGAACTGAGAAGTAGGAACAAGAGGATCCTGGGTTAAGGTTAAGCCTCTTGGAAGTAATGCCTTTATACTCTTCTAGCCTAAAAATGACTGGTCCCCCTATGGGTTTGGACAAATACTAGAAATCAGTACTACAGTAACAGTGGTTCCTTTTGCATTCTTTCTTTTCCTTTTGTTCTTTAACTTTAGGACCCAAAAACTAGCTTTAAGATACTAAAACCCTCTCTCTGATCATTAACCTTAATCTTAATCTGGGGGTTAGCTTGGAGAAGCAGTAGACTTAACTCTTGAAACACCCCAGATCCTCTGTAAACAATGGCAGAAGTTTTTTGTTGTTTTGTTCTTAATCATAAACCCAATATGGCTTTACATGTGGCTGGAGAAGAGTGGAGGGTATTGCCAACCAGGAGGCCATTACTAGGACAGTTCATCTTTATGGTTTATTATTTACATTAATATATTTAACATTGTGATGGCTTGGCTTGAGATATGATGTAAAATTATTTATGTGAACAGTTTTTTAATGAACAAGGGACTAGATGCTAGTAAATTTCAATGTTTACTTTTAAGAATGGATCATAATATATCTAATTTTACCTTTGAGAGTTTTTTTTTTTTGAGATAGTCTTTCTAGATACACGTGTGCTCAATCATCTTTTTATCTTTAACTGAAAGTAGCAACAACAGTCATACTTTAAAAAAATTATCTTAGGTAACAAAACTTTTAAGCAGTTAATTTTTGATATGAAACAATAATCCAACTACACCTAAATCAATAGCATTTATAGATGCAAAGTTCTCCCCAGCAAACTCTCTTGGGAATTACTTCGTCTGCAGGTGCTTCATCTTCCCTCTCTGTACAATGTGGATTCTTTAAGTGTCCCATGAAATTGCCCTGGGACCTGTTTTGATCCTGAGACACTTGAGACTGAATTAGGTAGAAATGTTGACAACTTGATTATTGAGTCCTTGTGACCTGAGTAAATTTATGCACCTGTCTATAACTTCTTTTAAAGCCTCTTATTCCTCTTTTTCAGAAAAAAATACTGAAGACCATTGTCTGGAAAGTATATTAAATAGAGTGCTTATACTTAATAGATGTGACGCTGACCTACCATGTTCATAATGTTATAATTTTTTCCATTTTGAAATACTTTACAAATAAAAAAGCAGAATATAAATGTATTTCATTTTTACTGAAATCACACTATTATTAATTATAGGTTTATGTTGAAAAATTAAATGTTCATCAGATGATGATGATGTTTGACTTACATTCTTTTTAGAGTTTCTGAAGTTCACTTTCTAAAAGGAGAGAGCTACAGTTCCAGCTGTAACATACTCAAAGATGGGAATGAAAGTGATTTTTCCCAGAAATTCAGATAAACTATGTGTTGTTTTGCAAACTTCTCAGTGGTTAAGTGAGACTATTCCTAATGTGTTTTTCTCCCCTCCTTTTCACCTGTGGAAAATAAATGAAAAAGTAAAATGCTGCAGTAACAGGGTGTTTTGATAATAAGGGGAAAGCAGCTGGGGTCAGCACTCAAGGTTCCAAGGAGAAGAGCTTGGCGTGAGTAATTCAGGCAGTGGTTCTCAATCTTGGCCTCAAAAAAGAATCTCTGGCCTCAGCATTTAAAAAAAAATCTTCCCAGGTGATTCCAGGTCAAGGTTAAGAACGACTGGTTTAAAAGAGATCAGAAAGGGGAACTGAGGTAGGAGAGTACTGTGATGGTCCAAGTTAGAAATAATAAAGACCTCAGTTAGGAAATGAGCAGGGAGATACCCAGCAGTAGAAACAACAGGACTTACGTCCCACATGAGGGAGAAAATGAAGCAAAGATACCGTCTTCATAGACGTGATGGTCCTAACCTTGAGAATGGATGAGATTGCCATTGAAGAGAACCAAGGAGATACCCTTGTGTGATAACTGCATTCGTGGATGGGAGAAGGTCAGAAAACCTGAGAAGTGGGAGGAGAATCAATTGGCTATAGTGTCAGAAGATGGGGCCTGAGAGTTTCAGGTAGGCTGTATGAACATCTCGAGAGCAATTAAGAACATTGCAGTAACATGAAATCACAGCAAGCTTCCAGGTGCTTTTGAAATAGGCTTTGAAATATTTTTCTCAAATGTATGCTTATTGGATCTCTTCAAAGTTATACTTTAAAAAGGTACTTTGAGATCCAAGAAAGACAGCCAGACTTATGAAAGAAGACATAATTCTAGTCCTGGCTCCCCCTTTCTAGCCAGCTGACCTTGGGAGAGCCACTTATCCATTGCTCATTTATCCACTGAGCGGGGGTGACAGCATCTGCCCTTTCTACTCCACAGTGTTGTTTTCTGCACTAAAGTAGGTAACAAATGTGAAAATGTGTTGTAAAATATAGACCACTATGCCAGTAGTGGATTATTAGCGGTAACCGTTTTGCTGCTGTTCACAAATTCTTTAGTATTGAGAAGCTTTGGACAATTTGTATTCCTCGTAAAGAGGTAAATGAATGCTAGGAAGTTCCAGGTACCAGTCCGTCCAGGGAGCTCACCATCCCACAGAGAGGACAGGGTAAGGAAATAAGTAATAAACAGCGTGGCAAACGTTCTATGAGAGCAGGAATCATATTACTAATATATTTCTAATGCCTAACTGTTTGAAACCTAGTGGGCGCTCCTAAAATATTTTATTTTTAAAATCTGACTTAATAATATAATACAAGGTAAAAGGTCATAAATATAAAATATTATAAGTTTGAGAAGATATTCAAAACCGGTACATTGCCTGAATCACAGTAATAGACAAAAAATATATGATGAATTGATGAGTCATGATGGGAGCAGGGTGCCATGTCCCCAAAAGCTACCTTAGTTAACATACAGCAAAAAGGAGTTTCAGCCATAGTAGATGTAAAATGTAGAAACAGCAGCAATGAAGAATGATTTTTTTTACATACAGAGTAGTCTGAGTTGCTCAAGGCCAAGACCATGGAAATCAGAGAAAACAGGAATGGCTCAGAGGAGGTGCCCTCGGTGACCCAAGCTGGTCAGTTATTTGCTTTATCGGCTACGATGGCATCTCACCCAAGGGCAAAGGACTGCTTATGTTCCATATGTACCTGAAATGTGGATGCTGCCATGTTCTGCTTTACATGTGGCAAGTGAAAGGATCCTGACCACGTGCTCTTCTGTCTGCAGGAACAGATAATCTCTATGAGAGGGCGCTTCACATCCGCAAACTCCTCCTGACCTTGCCCAGGTCGGTCCTTATCGTGATGAGGTACCTCTTTGCCTTCCTCAATCAGTAAGTACCCTCCTCGCTCCCTGCCAAAATGCTCGTCTTAATTCCATTTGCACAGCTCTGAATTCTGTCTTTGTTCTTGCATTCAGTAAAATGTACATTGGGTTTCATTTATCAGCAGAGTCGAAGATGATTGAATAGAGACTGAAGGTGCATCTTTCCTCAGCAGATCAGTGACGTTGTGTGACCTACCTTAAATAAGCCTGGTCACCAGATGCAGAAACTGTGGCCATATATGCAAAAATATGTGAATATTACTAAAAAGAACACGGTTCAGTGAAATACGTGTTTTTCCTACTTCCATCCAAAGCTAATGTCATAAGTGTTTTAGTCAGAGTGATGTCAGCCACCTGCTTATGGCAGAAAATGTCTTTGATTTTTAATGTTATTGTCAGGGAAGGAGAGGAATTGTAGACAAGACTTATATATGGATCTAAAAAAGAATTTTCTGCAAATTCAGTATAATGAGACCTTGTCAAAAAGATACTTCTAAAACATTCTCCAAAACAATGTAACAGAAATCTGAAAAATCACTGCATTATTATTAGAGTTAGATAAATAAAAGTTGAAGGAATTTTAAAATTGTCTTGGCAGAATTAACATAATCCAACAAAATAGTAAACTGAGAAGTTGGTAATGTGGGAACTGAATCAGAGACTCATTTAAAATCAGTTTGATTTATATGTATTGAGTATGTATTCAGGGCCTAGCATTGTACCAAACTCTTGGAATAAATGGGGAAAATGGTGGGGGGTAAAAATCACTGCATTATTTTCAAAGAAACTTTACTTTTTGAACTTAGGCAGCTTGGTTTTCACTTGTGTAACTTCCAGATACAGGGGCTCCATTATAAAAACATCTTTCCCAAGTCTTTATCTAAGAGTCCCCTTCCTTTTCAACATTCAGTTTTTTATTTCCAACATTCAGTAATTAGAAATTAAAAAAATAATCCAGGGGAAATAAGACTGGACAAATGTTTTCTCATTCTAGCATGAATTGTTTCTTCTTAAAAATAGGATATTTCTCTCTTCTCTGTTCCACTGGAAGTTTTAAGTTCTCAAAAGCCATGGGGACTTATTATAACCCTGCTGACTATTCCTGAAACCACACCCATTTGGGTTGACCCCCCAAAGCCAAGTATCATACAGTAGGGATGATGAATGCAGGGAACCATACAGAATGAAGCTAAAACATCCACAAATGACATTTGTACAGAAGTCACCACTGGAAATAAGCAGTAGCTAGAGAGATGGGTATAAACAATTTTAGGTTAAATAAATACTGTGAATTTTTACCTTTAAATAAGCCTAGTCACCCAGGCAGTTGTAAAAAAATCTGAAGGTATGCCATCTTCACCTTTAATTGCACATGACTCTCTTTCCCCAACATGGAGTGCCTTGCGTTCCTGCTGGCCCCCTCCACACTGTCCCTACCAAATTTCCCTGACACCTGAGCGAAACCCATGGTGAACCAATAAACCACAATGTACCATGCTGGTTGCCAGGAATCAAGAAACTTCTCAAAATCTGAATCTAACTCACCATGTATCTCAACAGCATGGCCACTGTGCCATGAGTCGGACCGCGGGCTTCACCTCCAGCATTTCTGCCCAGAGATGCCCCCTGCTTCCCCAACACCTGCCTTCATGCAGAGACAAGGCCCAGCCTCTAGCGTGAGATGCTTGGGACAGGAATTTTGAAAAGAGAAGTAATGTATTCTCTTTTCATTGTGAAATCAAAATGTGTATGTAACATTTTTATGTCAAGTTTTTGCTCTACAAGCCAGCTCTAAATTGAAGACCCAGAAAAACTGTGACTCTCTCCATTGAGCTTAAGTGTGTCTTTTGAAAATTACACCATTCTTCTTCCACATCTCACTTTTCCTTCCTGCGTTCATTTTCAAGATGATCTGTAACATGATCACTGGCTGTTATTGTGAACTGTTTTTAAGATTTTATGTTTGAGAAGTGGCAGAAGGGAAAGACATATGTTACCTGTGGAAATTATGCTTTTGTACTGTCTACTTTCTAGGCTATCTTATTTCTGAAAAAGGGTACAGTATCATGTCACGTGGCATCTCAGTTTCTTTGTGTCTGTCAACATCTCACAAATGTAGTTGAGTCTCTTTTTTTTTCCTCCTTCCGTGTGTCATCTGTTCAGCTGGATTTTACATTTCCTTTCAAGGGCAACATTTTATATGCTGAAAGATAACGTCTCTAGATTCTCTTTAGAATGGCACCTTGCCCATATGTTAGAGGCATAGCAATGAAGAGCTGGCTTACTTCAAGTCACCTGTGAAAACTATCTCACAGATAGCCATTAGATTGAATTTAGAAATTAGTACTAGATGGCTGGGAATATCCCCAAAGTGTGTAGTTTGCCAGCTTTACATGGAATGAGAGAATTGAGAATTCTTTCCCCCTTCTCTTGTACTTACTATGTCTCGTGTGACACTGTTGGTAGTCTTACCCAAAAGCCAATTATAAAGCCTGGAGTTGCATACTTTCAGTGAGTACAAAGAAAAGGTGCTTTGTTTTCCTCTGGACTTTCCTTAAGATTTGTGGGAGAAAACTGAAATCTGAGATGTTTTGGGTTAGTGGGAGGGCAATTTTAAAGATACCCATAAAGCTTCATGGAGATCGCTGTTGCCCCTCCTAGATTCGCCTGAGCAGCATTTATAGCCGGACCATAATGTTTACAAATGAAACTCAATTACTTGAGTCTGGTCTCCGTTGTAGAGGTTATCTTAAACTCCCTGTGGCTTTGAAAAATGCCACTTCATTAAGCAAATAGGACTTATATTCCCCTTCCAATTTCTACCTAGTTGAAAGATTATGAGTCCCTTTACTTTCTTTGGAATTTGCTGAGCCATCTTCAAAGTAGGAAAGAATATCATTTTATCCTAATGATAAAAAAACTAAAAAAGTCTTTTACATCCTTGTTTTTAGAATATGAAGTGTCTTATTAAACGATGATCTTCTTTTTTCCCCTTTCATATCTCCTTTCTTGCTTCCTTTCATAGTCTTTCACAGTACAGTGATGAGAACATGATGGACCCGTATAACCTAGCTATTTGCTTCGGCCCCACACTGATGCCTGTCCCAGAAATACAGGACCAAGTGTCTTGCCAGGCTCACGTGAACGAGATTGTCAAAACCATCATCATCCACCATGAGACTATCTTCCCAGATGCTAAAGAGCTGGATGGCCCTGTTTATGAGAAATGTATGGCTGGAGATGACTATTGGTGAGTCCAAGAATTTTAGTCCTTCTCCCTCTGGAAGAATTACGGAAGTACAGATTTCAGCTTAACTAAGAAAAAGAATTGACTATAAACTGCTTCCAACTTAAAAAAAAGAAAAGAAGAAAAAGCAGGAACATTTGAGATGAATTAGAATACTAAGACCCATGACAACACTGGCTGCTGCTTATGGAAATTCATAGCCATCCATCTCTTCCCCAAACATGACATCTTTTTAGTTATATTTAGTTGTATCCACCCTATCATGAAGTTGTAGAGAACCAAGGTTTTGATATAGAGAACTATAGTAACTTTTACTATTGTATCAAGAAAAGACAACTGATTGAATTGACAGATTTCATTTTCATTCCTAAATAGGTTTGAGTCTATATAAAGTATTTCAGAATTCTCATTTTAAGGGAGCTCTTCAACCAAATGTGTCTTCATTCTTAGTTACGTTCATTTTCATTCTTACTAATAAATATTATCCTATTACAATAATCATGGTCACTGTGAGCAAATTTATTATATTGCTATATTTTGGGATGAATTTTTTTTTAATAAGCAGTATAGTCACCTCCCAGTGAAGTGCAAAAATGAGGGGCATAGTCAATGGAATAATCCCAAAGGTAGGCAACGCTAAAATGTGTATGTTCACGATTTGATACGAGTGCTAGCTTCTAAGAAGTCATATACAATAAAAGTGGCTTTGATCCCTTGAGCCCCTACTGTGTGCCTGCTTCTCAGTGCATATGACGTCTTGTATTCCTCACAACCACCCTACCACGTAAGTTAAGAGAGGCCAAGGAGCCTGTGCAATGACTAGCGGTTCCTGGAGGCAGCCCCAGTTGGTCTGATTCCAAAGTCCACCCAAGTCTTCCCGCTCGACAGCTGCCTCCCAGCCGGCCTCGGAAACTGCTCTGTGCCGCTCAGATTCAGGAGCAGCTGGAAAAAGATCTGCCAAAGCCCTTCACTCTGGACCCTCCTCAGGACGCTCTGCTTTCCGCTGCCTTACTGGGGATTAAGTAGAAGAAGAATAAGTAGCTGAAAGATCTAAATAACTGAAAGTATTGAAAGTACATGTATTTTTTTTAACCTCAACCACAGTATATTCTTAAACACAGATGATTC